AATCAAAGAACTTGAACCATTTTTCGATTGAAGAACTTATTGGGTCTTTGATAACCTATGAATGACTTATATTGAATATGATGAACATGAGAACCACCTTCCAAAGAACATGAAGGATTTGGCACTTCGAATAATAGAATACCACTTGTGATGACTCAAGTGATGATAATGATGACCTTGAACTTCTCACAATAAAACTTAGAAAGTACTTAAAACAAGAATCAAATAACAAATATGAACCTAAAAAGAAGAAGCTTTAAAAGAAGAAGAAAACATTCAAGATGGCTTGAGATGAATCGAGCTCATCTAAAGACGAGGAGCAAACTAACAAGGCCAAGGTGGCGAACTGCGCTTTGACGACTTTCATCAACAAGATAAGCGACTCAATCAAATATATTTTTTCCTTACCATAAGATTACTTAGAGCTTTTCATGATTAGTTTTAAATATATATTTTTTTTTATCATGACAATTGCATGTTTTATGATAAAGGAATAAAATATTAAAATTAAATATTTTATGTTTAATAAAATCATGTTTGATAATTTAATGATTTAATTATGCATGATGATTTTGTATTGCTTTTTTATTTTAAATATTATGGATGGTTTTCATACGAAAAACTTAAGCACATGTATGTGAAATCAATCAGATAAAATGAAACACATAAAAAGAACAATATATTATCATTGGAATTAAAATGATGAATCAAATCTCTTGTTTGAAGAAGTCTTATGTTTAAGTGTTATACATTTCTTGGTGGTTTTTATGACGAAATTTATTTTTTGATCCTAAACGTTGATGCATGATTTTATTTAGCATAAAAAGACAAAGGTATGCTTGAAACAAACAACTTCAAATGAAACACATAAAAAAGGAATATATTTTCCATCTCTATTGATTTTTTAATAAAAAATTAATGAATCCATGTATATTATGCTTTTGTGAATCTCTTGGACTATGAAAATGATTTGATGAATTTGAATGAGTTTTATCGAAATCATAATTTCTCGAGACTTATAACATGAAATCTTTTATGAATCAAGATCTCTTATTTGATCTCTTATGTTTCTCTTTGCCATTTACTAAAGAGGAAAATAATCCAATTCATCATCTTGATTTCTCAATATTTGATACTTGATATTTTTTTGTGAATCAAGATCTTGTATTTGATCTCCTATGCTGTCATTTACTAAAGAGGAGAATTTTATAGATGAATCATGAATTTTTTAGAATTATAACTTTTTTTAATTGAGATATTATGCATGAATCAAGTTCTCATATGAATCTATCTACGTTGCCTTTATTGAATTTTTCGAAAAGTGATTTTGATGTTGATTTTGGATCTATTTTCATATAACTAATGAGATGATATATCCAACTAAATCATTTATTGTATTTATGACTTGTGATATATTCAACATGAAAAATCTTTCTTGATGCATGTATGATTCACTCTTTTAAGAGAATATTTATCAAATCATGATAAGATGATATTCTCTTTATATGAATCAAGATTTTTCATTGTTCTCCTATAATTCTTCTTGCTATATATTAAAGAGAAGCATTATTGAAATTATGATCTTGATTTCTCGCAATTATAATTTGAATTCTCTATTGAATGAATCAAGGTCATTTTCTATTTAAAAGGAGATTTGTAAAAATGATTCATGGAATTTTGAATTCATAACTTAATTTTTCATTCGTTTATGAGATGGTTGAAATATTTGTACCTTTGAATTCTTTCCTTCTCCTTTCATTTTTTTCTTCTTCCTTTCAAGACAAAAGGGGAAGAGAAATTTGCTAGCATTAGTATTCATAACTTTGTATTATTCCCTTCTTTTTTACAATGACAAAGGGGGAGAAAAACTAGCCAGCTTATGCATCATAAAGAAAAACAAAATTGTTGCTAGCTTGCACTTCTTGAAAGAGAAGAAAGAATTTACTATCTTGCCTATATCAAGAAGCAAAACTTGTAAACCTATCTCAAAAGAGAAGCAAGAATTGCTAGCTTGCAATCTCTAGAGAAGCAAAAGCACTATTTTGCATATTTCAAGAAGATGTAAATATATGCTAAACTTGCACATCTCAAAAACTTGCTAACTTGCATGATGATAAATGCAATGATTTGAAATTATGTTTCAAACATATACTAATTGCACTTCTCCTTTTTGTTGATGACAAAGGGGGAGAAGATATATGATAATGTATAATCATGCATAGGATGATGTACTTGGATATTTTGATTATCCATGATTTTATGATGCATGCAATGATGTGATATATTGGTTATTTCAATACTCATGTTGCATGCAATGTTGAAATACTATGATTTCAAAGTTTCTATCAACATGGCATATTGATAGGGAGAGTTTGTTTAAACTCCGTGTTATCATCATCAAAAAGAGGGAGATTGTTGAATCTCGGATTTTGATAATGAAGCCAATTGAGAGTGTTTATGATTTAATATGCGTTTAAGTGACGTAGGACTAGCTTCGATAAAGGAGAGGTAAATTAATTAAAGCAGGAAGAATCGGATGTTGGGTCGGAGTAAACGTGTCAAAAGATTGGACGTCAGGCCGAAGAATCGGTCGACGTATTGACAAAAGTTAGGGCATCGGGCCAAGAAGAGCGGACATTACACCAAGAAGATTGAAGTTGTGGAGGTCAACATGCCGATTAGGCAAAATACCGTAATATAGGACGATGCGCCGAAGGATTGGACGAAGCGCCGATGAACCAATGACATGTCGGATAATATAGGATTCACTTATAATTAATTATATCTAGATCAAGTTAGTTTAGAGTCTAATTGAGTCGGTTTAGAATATAATTAGGCCAACTCAATTAGAGGCCAACTAGGCCCAAGTTTGGGCTGTGTTGGGCCAAGTGAAAGGCCCAAATAGTGACTAAACAAGTGGAATTATCGTGGCACAATCTCCGAGACTATGTCAAGTGGTGGTACCGCCCAAACTTAGTCTCTGAGACTGTCAGGCGGTGGTACTGTCAATCTGGGTGGTGATACCGCCCAGACATAGTCTCTCAGACAGTGATACTGCCAGACTAGGCTGTGGTACTGCCCAGTGTTAGTGCTGCAGGTGGTGGTACCGCCCAACACAAGCGATTGTAATGCCAAGACCCGGGAA